TTTTTTGTTTGTTCAAGGTTGATGGCAAAGACCTTACTTTAAAAACTGGGGATATCAAATATTTCCTGGAGCTAAATCAAGTAGGACTCTCAAGGAACAAGTTGTGGGCACATTCTGATCCAGTTTCCACTAAAGATTCAGAAACCGAGGGAAAGGTAGGTCATATTCGGAAATTCATGAAAGTCTAGCTTTTGTTTTGTTTTCTCTAGCGAGTTTTCCTCTGACATTTCTGTTCAATGGGAAAGGGTGCAATGAGATCAACCGTTCTCATTGAGGAAGTCCAGATCACAACATTGCAAGCTGTGTTCTTTGATGTCCCCTGCTACCCTTAGCTGTGCAGACACAGAGAATGCTTCATTCCTTGTCTGTTGAAACTCAAAAAAATTTATCAAAAGGAAGTTGTAGATTGTTCTTGCTACCATGGTAACAAAACTGGTGGCAACTTGGATTGCTGTCAATATTTTTCAACCTCCATTTTTGAGATCTGATGAGATGTTCTCTCCTCCAGCTGTTGAGATTTCTGTTTTCTTCCCTATTTAACCCTTTCACAGCCAAGATCTCATTAGTAATTCTCCTTCCTGTCTGCTCTTCGATTCTTGTAATGTTAGTATGGTGAATTTGGAATTGGATCAACTAATAATCCCCTAATAGATATTTTCTTTTATTCTCATCACTAGTCTGCTTGACATTGTTTTGATATTGTAAGGAGAAATTCCGTTTTGGTCTGTCATGGAAGAGTTTATGAGTTAAAGAAACTTAGTGATATTTCAATGTAATACAGACTAACTGATTGGTTTGTCAATTCTCAATATTTTTCTGCAAAATATCGTAATGAAATTGTTGAAAGAATTAACATGTTAATCAACCCTGAAAGTAAAGGGCTTTTACTAATCCTGTTATGAATCATTACTTACGATACACTTTTTCCATTTGACAGGTTAATAATATTGTGAAAGCTCTTGAAAATGCAGGAAAAAAATTTAACCTGGACATCCAGGAACCCGCAGACAAACCACTGCCTCCATCATCTTTCCAGATGTTCTTGAAAAAAAACCGCTCAATACCTGGAATTGTGTTGACAGACCACAAGGAGGAATATTCCAACAAGTGAGAAACAGCAAAAATCTTCTATTCTCTTTCTTTCCCTCTGAGAGCTTTTCCACCCTAACATTAGTATACACATTCTCTGTACTGCTCTCTATACATTTCCTTTGGTACTGACTAGGAGAATTTGTTTACCAATCAGGAGCCTCTCGAGTTGGTGATCATTTCCTTTATTCTCATAACCTAAGTGTTTGATTATGTAGTGATGTGATGAGGAGAAACTCTGTTTTATCTTTAGTTAAATGAATTTCTCTCTGATAATTAATTTTTTTTCATGATCCAGCCAATTCATTTTCTCAAAATTATTAGTTCCCTAACCATTTAAACCCTACGAGTGACCAGCTTCTAATTTCTCCTTACAATATCACCCCTGAATCAAACATGAAACTCAAGAGAATAGAGGACATGATCACCAACTAAAGCAGCTCTTGATTGTTAAACTAATTCTCCTTGTCAGCCTCTTTGGAAATATACAGAGAACAGTATGGAGAATATGCATACTGATGTTAGTGTGTAAAGGGTTAATAAGAAGGTTGTTTCTTTTGTATGGTATCGTAAGTAATTTAGTTAACACTGTACTGAAACATTGTAATGTGCGTATTGCTAGGTATGTGCGTATTGCTAGGTATGTAAAGTAATTCAGTTAATGAAATTAAGAGATCCTCGCAGCTAAGAACACTACTGAAACGAGTAGTTGTAAATAGGACCTGAAAAAAATTCAGGCCCGTATGGGATTTGAACCCATGACCTCTGCGATACCGGTTTAGCTGCGAGGATCTCTTAATTTCATCTCTCCACCGCAGTGCAAATATATGAATTTTCTTATATCTAAAATCATAATTCAATAAATGTTAGACGTGTAAACTAAATGTTAGTATTTTATTGTCCCTGTGGTTAGAATAAAATTTGATGAGAAAAATAAGTTGGCGAAACAAGTGAAACTTAGATGAACCGATGTAGTGAATTTTGAAAAACTTTTGCTTTTGTCCTTCAGATTCTACAACAGCCATTTTGACGATCTTTACCAAGTTGGTGGAAATGTATCCATGGATAATGACACAGTTTATGTCATCACAGAATTCACAAAGGTACTCCTATTTTTATAGAGAACGACTGTAAGAGTGAGGTGTTTCAAATTTTTTACCCCAGGCTTAGGAAAATGTATATTCCCGATGGCTGGGAAGGCGAATAATAACAGGAAGGGGTGTCTGGGGAGCTCCTCACCCTTGAGTGATAGTCACCCCTACACTGTGGGGCTCTCCTATTCTTGGCAGACTGTGTTCCTGGGGACTCTGAGTGTCGACAGGCGAGAGAGTCAAATGGGGACTGTACATCTCTTCGTCACTTTGAAAAGTCAGCAGTGCTGGTTAAGCAAACAGCTGAACCGGAAAAGTGAGGCACCTCATTTAAATTCATCCTTGCGCGTATAAGGTCTCTCTCAAACACCAGCCTTCCACCCGTCCCATTTTCTCTTCTGTCTCTAGACACTGGAGTTACCATCATACACTGTACCCATTTTTTTGCATTTTCACCACAGCATTAACTCTGCCATGCACGTTAATATGACGGGTTTTCTTTTTGGGGAAAGGGGACTCGAACTCCCTGACGCGCCAGGGGGCTCTTCAGAGAGGAGGAATGTAAACGTGCAGTTGTCGAATCTTATTCTTGCTCCTCAGAAACTTTCCAACATCTCATCAACTGTAGCCACAGCTCTGTACACTCTTGCCAATGATGGAACTGCACCAGACTTTGACATCAAGGCTGATGAAGCCCTGGTGAGTAGATCGCCTCGAATCCTTTGACTCCCAAATGCTCTAGATGATGAATTTTTTAAAATCTCATCACTATACACCTATTGTGGGGTTTTTCGGAGAGGAGAAGAGTTAATTGTTGTCTCTCG